CTGAAAGTAGGTTATGCCTTAAATCAGGTACATGTCTAACATTTCTAATTTGAAAAACAGTTCCATTTTCAAATTTTAGACTGATGTCACCAATACCAAGGACCTTACACCTTTTACTATCAGCTAGAGAAACAAAACCAGTTTCACACAAAGTGTAGGAAGTAAACAGATTCCTAAAAGGTGTCATATGGTAGGTACAACCTGAATCTATTAACCACTCACTCTCAGTCAGACTACTAAGCACAGAATTGGCTTGATCACAGACCATAAAAACTTCATCTTCTACAACCTTATTGGTCACAACATTAGCCTGGTCATTCTTCTTAGGTAGGGTGCAATCTTTAATGTAATGTCCTGGGTTGCCACAGTTATAACAAACTCTTTTTCTAGACTTGAACCTCTTCTTACCAGGTTGTCTACTATTTTTATCCTGATTGTCCTTTTTAGGGTGTCTAGACCTGCTTTTAGATCTTCCCCTAACAAACAAAGCTTCCCCAGATTCCCTGTGATGACTCCTAGAATGTTTTAAGTCCAGTTCTTTACTTCTCAGGCCATTAATAACAACATCTAGGGTTATGTCATCCCTCCCATACTTGATGGCTGACTTAACATCATTATAGGAATCAGGTATAGCATTGAGTAAAACTATAGCAGTGTAGTCATCTATATGTTTATCCCCAGCCTGTTTAATGTTTTGTATTAGTTTATTAAAGGCATCTAGGTTTTCATCAATATCCTTTGTTAGGTCAAGTCTGAACCTAAAAAACTTTTCCAACAAAAACAGTTTGCCAGGAAGGGAAGTATCAGTATATAGAGACTCAAGTTTGTCCCAGAGGGCCTTAGCAGACTCAATGACTCCAACCTTCCTAAGGACAGAGTCAGACAGGTTTAAGTATATAGTAGAGCATGCTGTTTCATTCATCTCAACTTGTTTAGGTTTATCCTCTGTTTCTAAGTATTGTCCAGTAACAGCTCTAAACACTTTCTGTTGGATTAACACACATTTTAATTTTTGTTTCCATATATCAAAGTCAGTTCTACCATTAAAAGGCATCATACCATATAGGTTTGAAGCCATGATAGCAGTCAATACACTAAGCTGCTGAGATACAGATAATATAAAGGCTAACCCTAGTGGTTTGGGCAGCGGACTAAGTGACCACGCAGTTCCGGGGCCACTGAGGTGGCTGGCAGGGAATCACTTAGCCCTATCCTCAGGTGCCCTAGCCAACTAGGGGTTAGAAGCCACACTATTACCAGAACTCAACAACAAGAACATGAATTGACAAGACTGATTTGAGCAAAGAAGTGACAAATACAATAGTAACAGGGCAAGCTACAACAATACAGAGGAAGTGCAGAGGCAATAACACAGAGGAGATAGCAAATTAAAGACCACAACACACAGAAAGTCAATTTAATAAGCCAATCAAAGTTCACAGACAATTAGTGGCCAAGTTCGACACAGATTGGACCACTCATGCACATCCGAATTACACCTAGGGTTTCTACAGATCTGTGCTAACAGATACTGTACATGCAACGGTTGTTCTAGGGTTTCTACTCGGCAGATTTATAACCTAGGGTTACAAGTCCACCCATGCAACACAGAGGCCGGTGGCACTCCGGCAGCCCACAGGTTAGGGTTTCAGGCTTATACCTGAGCGGGTGTCACTGAAAGACAACCCGACTTACCAATCTCCGATGAAGCTCCAGGCGTTACCGAGTGTGGGAGTTCTCCGGCGAGCTTCCGGCGTCGGCGAGAGGCAGCAGCGTCCAAGCTCTGATACCACTGTTGGAAATCCGGACCGGCTCAGACCTCAAACACCAATAGCCCAAAGGCTAGCTCACATTCACCACCAAGGTTGCAAAAAAAGGGAAACTGAAGGGCAACGATCAACTACCCTCACTCACAGTACCCAAGCCCCAACCCAGAAGCCCCACCGGTGAAGGAACTCACCACACAACCAGAACCAGAGTGAAGACCCCCACAGGAAACCCCAAAGCGTCACCGGAGTATAGCCAGAGCTAAGGCTCAGGTGAGGCTGGTACTCTCTCACTCTAGATCTAGGATAACCGACTGAGAAGTTCCACGGATAGAGAGAAGGAAGAGCGAAAGAAATAGGAGGTTCGAGAAGGAACCAGACAAGTATATCAAGGGCCACAAAGGGTCACGGGCTGGGTAGTGGACAAAAGGGGCATATGGGCTTGGTCTGGCAGACAGCCCAATTGGGCCAGGGATATTTAATAGGAGACCAAACTATTAAATGAGGTGGACCAAAAACAGCATGGGTAAGGGTTAGGCCAAGTTGAGGTGGACCAATACCATCAACAATATCTTTCCAACACTTATTCTCATACAATTTTTCTATTAGTTGGGGGTGTAGAGAACTTTCATGGAGTTTAATACACCCCCACATTTAATACTCCCAACTAACAAATGAGGGTTTAAGGATGACAATAGTCTACTCATATGGGATTTGGCAGTAATTCTCGCTTTATCAATTTCATCATTTGCATTGTCATTTTCAACTTTTAATCATTTTCAATTGAAATCCATTTTATTATCAAACACTTGTTCTCATACATTTATTTCTATTAACTCATACATTTGATTCTTCAAGAAATAATTACATTTCATCTTCATGATATTTCACCAATTAGTTGGGGAGTATTGAATTTGCAAAACTAACCCTCAGCTCATACATAACTTTGAATGTCACCATTCTCATCAGCTTTTAATTAATTAATTAGTACTCTGTATAAAACTACGACTACAATTGTGCAGGATTTACCACAGCCACTATGGCTTGTTGTGGAAACACAGGCGGGCAATATGCATGGATAGTTCCATGCGGACCAGCATCAAATATGTGTCGAGATCGCGACAAATATGTATTTTGGGATCATTACCACCCGAGTGAGGCTGCTAATATCCTTATTTCCAATAAACTTCTCCAAGGAGATCCTAAATATGTATCTCCAATCACTCTTCTTCAACTTCGAGACTCATAAGTTTTATATTATTTGGTTGCATATGATTTATAAATTCTCCTAAATTTCTTGTGTTTTATTAAAATTCACTACTAGGAAGTACTCCGTATCATATCCGTTTTGTAACTATAATTACCTTACGTACAGTAGTTGTCTGAAATATTTGCTAAAAGTATCCCAATGAAGTATTGTATTTTATTTAGAGAAAAGATGGTTCCTATTTTGGCTCGATAGTTCATCGGTGTTTGATTTGAGCATTTGATGAGGTCGATATATAGATATGCTCAAGTATATACGAAGTTGCTTGTTAACAAATTTGTGCTCATATCATTTTATTAGTACCGTAAACTTTAACAAAAGTAATACTTCCTCCTCAAGATGATTTGTAATGTCAACTTTTCTTAGTCAACATATATAGTTTCACTTTATCTACTTATTTACGGAGTAACATATCAAGGTTTTATATATTCTAATTTGGACTTTGTGAACTTAATAATTAAATTTGTAAATCCGTAAATTTTACAAATAATAACTTTGAATGAGGTTTCGAATATGTAAATTTTAATTATTACGTAAGAAGTATAACTGATTTAACTTCCAACGATGATGATTTAACTTTGTTGTCAATCAACATTAAAATCCGTAAATTGCAATTCAATTTGGAACTGTGGAAATATTGAATAACAATATCAATACAAAGACTAAAGAAAATAACAAATTCAATATTGATTTGTCAAATATTGATACGACTATTTTTTATGGCTGCATGCAGTGGCGGAGCCAGAAATTTATGGTTGAGGGGGTCGGTCCTTAAAAATTTTACATTGCAGGGACCAAAGTTATAAATATCAACATATTTTCTATAGATTAAACGTATTTATACATAATATATAGTTAAGAATTTTTTTCTTGCAGGGGCCGAGGCCCCCTCCAGCCCCTCCCTGGCTCCACCCCTGGCTGCATGTCAACATTCAAATATCTTGCAACAAAATGACTTTGAAAAGGGTTTTGTAAAAAAAATTCAACTAGTATATATTTGTCAAATTCGAGCCAAAATTTATGCAAAAGCTGTCATGTAAAATTTAGCATTGAGTCTTGACAAAACAAGTCAATTTGTAATTAATAAGTGTTAGGTCCTTCACTTTTTTTTTTTTGCAATGCAACATAATGAAATATCGATTTGTAAAATTATACTCCGTATAATTAAATGGATTTGTACTAGACCGAAATTCTGATCGTTTATAATTAATTGGGGCTATTCAGTTCTAATCCAAATTTTGTGTTTTGCTTTCTGGATGTTGAATATTATTGTTTAGATATCCTATTGGATGTCCATATTCCAATAGCTAATATTGGATGTTTTGTTTTATCTAAATTAAACTGAAAATTTTGACTGTTTTATAATTAGAGTAATTCAATTCTAATCCAAATTAGTGTTTTGTTTTGGGGTTTTTGTGTGTTTTTATAGTTTTGATGTTTCATTTTTGTATATCCTATTAGATGGCCGTAATCAATAGTGTAATCCTAAAAAGATGGATAAATTTGTAAATTTAGTCTTGTACCTTTTGATTGTGTTCATTATTATTTCTGAAACTTACTCGATGGAAGATTTAGTCTTATTATCAAGAAATCTGTACAATTTAGGGACTTTTTCACCGTAAAGTATAGTTTCGATAAAAAAAAATTACCGAAAATATGCCGTTGGCGTCGGCAATTTTTGTATCGAAAAGTGTAAGACCTCAAATTGGACCAAATCTCGAAGTTGAGTGAAGTTAAATACTCCCTCAGGCCCTCTGTCCCTTAAAACTTTGTCAATCTTTTCTTTTAGGTATGTACCAAAAAACTTTGTCACTTTTCATTTTAATCAATTATTTTGTGATTTCTGTTATTTCTCTCTTCTCTGCGCAAACCTCAACCACACAGTTTTTACTTTATTATTCTCCGTGTCGGTTAACTTTGTCAAAGTTTTATGAGACGGAGGTAGTACTACGTAAATAGCTTAGTAACGAGCCTATCCAAAAGTTGAGATTATCGTTAACAAGATAGCCAAAACTATTTTTTGGGTACATTATGGTTACAAGTACATAGATGATAGATTAGAAGCATATATTAAAAAAAAAGATATTATCCAAAATGGGACTAAAAAAGTTTGAAAAATTCCAAAATAGGACTTCCATGTTTTTATTCCCAAAATAGGACTAATTACTGTCATGTTTTGGCAGTACCAGACTTCAAACATGGCAGTATTTTCCAAATTTGGCAGTAATTAGTCCTGTTTTGGGAATAAAAACATGATATATAGTCCTATTTTGAAATTTTCAAACTTTTTTAGTCCCATTTCGGGAACTTTCCCAAAAAAAAAACTAACTCAAAAAATATTTTACAAAATGCTGGAATGATAAGTACATATTTCACGGCCGAAAAAAATTAGCCCGCAAGCCATTAGCTATCAAATCCCACAAGGTTGTCGTCGCCATTACTAAACACATTAACATTCCCAAACAGCCAAGAGCCATGTTGAGACACCAGAGTAAGCTCCACCGGCGTGTGCTTTTCATGGCAATCCACATGAAACATGGATAAGCAAAAGTTAGAGGCAGCGTGATGGAGCCGACAAAGCCGGCTAAACTCCCCAAAAAGGGGAATGCCATAGCTGCCAAATATGTTAATCCACCAAATAGAACTTTGATACTTGCCCGCAACCATTTAGACCCACTTTTCTTTCTCTTGGTCAAATATATTCTCTCCCAATTGTCCAACGTTGGTATTGCATATATTTGGAAGTTGCATAGGCAAGCTATGATGATAATCATGTATATTGCTCCCATCCCGGATTTCGAGATGTCGTCTCGGTGAAATTGTGCAAATGCATTTAGAATTCCTCCTCTGCTGTATGTTCTAGGCATCTGTATGTCAAATTGATTAATAGTTATGCTCTGTTTGGATAGAGTAAAGTTAAGTAAACCTAGTCCAATAAAGTAAATCTAAGTTTTAATAAAAACTAGGTTAACCTAAGTGAACCTAGGTCCGTATGTAAAATATTGTTTGGAAATATAGAAGGTGAACCTAGGTTAATGTAATAAATGTTGTTTGGATGAAGGTAATCTAGCTCATTTTATGTTAAACGAGAATTTAACCTCCAAAATCCCCAATTCGGAGGTTCTTCAATTTATGATTCTTCCAGGTTTTCGGGAGTTAAGTGAGGTTAACACAAAACCTAGATTCTTGTTGCAAAAATACAAACATACAGGGGTTAACTAGAAATTGAACCTTCAATAATCTAGGTTAACCCCAAACAAACAGGTCATTAATATAGCACTTTATTACTTCATAATTTATTGGAGATAAAGAATATTACGTACCAGATTGCCATAAGCCCAATATCCGACAATGGCTAATGGAAAATGACACAATGCAATGACAGCATAAGATGCCATAACCCCTCTCCACATACGACGTCGCATTGGCGTACCATTGGAGGGCATGGTTCCTTGTATTTCTAGGATGAGATTGTGACCTCTAAATGCAAGAGAGATGAGGGTAAGCGCGTTTACTATGTCCCGAAACCTGTCCACCTTTGAGGTAGAAACCAGTGGAGGGTCATAAACCACTCCCTCCGGCCTGCCCTTGCTAAGGGGCAGTGTCCACAAAACAGTACAATAGGCCACGCCGGTGACCGAACCAATGGCCGCGATTGAGGACAAGGAATGCATGTTGGGGAAGAAGAGGGACACCAATATGGCAAGAGAAATGAAGACCAGAAACCATTCTGCGCCGGTGGGCCCTTTGCCGTGGCAGCCTGGGTCCTCTACGCCGCCGCACATGGTGTGGTAGAATAGCTCAAGGGTCCCGCCGCCGTTGATTATGAATAGAACGCATGCCCCACCGGAAAGATACATGGTGGGGAAAATGGCGGTCAACTTGCCGGCGGTTTGACCAAAAGCTACAATTGCTAGATGGGCGTATCGGCTGAAACGGGTCCCGGTGGCGGCGCTTTCATGAAGGTCCACCAATAGCCAAATGGTATACAGTTGCCATACGTATAGAAGTGATAGACATATTATTCCCCATGCCCTACATTCCACCAAAGAGTAAATAAATTAGCTAAACAAGAACAATATTTCGGGAACTTTCCCATTTTGAAGTTGTTGTGAATCTTGTGATCACATACGAATTTATTATAAAATAAAATGATACTCCGTAAAAAATGGAAAAATTCTTGAAATAGGATTTTTTAATTCCAAAATATGAGCACTACTCAATATTGTTATTTTCTAAGCAGCTGTAATTAGTTACAAGCTTGAAAAATACTATGGTATTTAAAATATAATAATAATAAAAGATGATCCTAATTATTGATATTTAGAAAATAAAAATATACTAATCACGCACACATATCAAACCTTAGCTTGAGAATACAAATAACATGTGGTAGGAAAGAGGATAAATTAGGTAAACCAAAATTTCCTTTAAAGGTCAAATATGATACGGAGTAATTTAAGCTAAATTTAAGGTACTCCAAGCTAATAATCAAATACGAGTAACATTCTAATTACTAACGTTGACCTAACAAATTAATCTAGTCTTTTCTATATACTCAGAATTAACAGGATCCAGATTTTTTCATATACAGGTAGTTTAAGGTAAGATCATACTTGTATTAAAAAATTGAATCTTTAGATACGGAATATAAGATACGGATAAAAAGACATACCAGCCGAGGGAGGTGAAAGCAACGGGAAGGAGGAGGGCCTGGAGGCCGATGCCGGAGGAGAGCAAAAGTAAAGTGACGGAGAAAAAGTTGCCATTTCTGGACTCTGTAATGGGGAGCTGAGAATCTATGGGGGCCAACTCTTTGTAGGACGCATTTCTCTCCAGAGCTGATTCTCCCCGAACGCTTATTCCTCCAACTGCCAGCATTTGTGCCGGCGTCTCATCCTCATAAATGTCTGCCGCCGCCGTCGGCAGAATGCCCGTCGCCGGCACCGGGAATACTCTGCTGCTCGACGACGACAACCTGCTCGCCTGCCCCGCCGCCGCCTCTATTTTCACTTCCACCACCGCGCCTTCTTCCATCATTAATTAATTAATTAGCTTCACAATATATTCAAGTTATTGGCATCTATCTATGATTTATATATATCGATAGAAGATGGCCATCTAGCGGCGCTATTGGGTTACCGCTACCCGATAGTATTTTACGCATTGCGTCCACTTTAATAAAGTTTGATTCATTTTTTGAATTTCACTGCTAACTTCAAGGTTGTTGTTTTACACGGAGTAATTATAAATTAGGAAATTAATATTCTCTTAATATAAATAGGACTAAAAGTATTTGTATATTTCAAAATAGAACTATCATGTTTTTATTCCCTAAATATGACATGTTTTGGCAGTATCAAACTTTAATCATTACAATAATTTCCAAAATTGACAGTAATTATTCCTATTTAGGGAATAAAAATATTACAGTCCTATTTTGGAATTTAATTTTTTTACTCCTATTTCGGGGATTTTTCCTTGAAAATTAAAGTTGTAAAGCGAGAATGCTTATGAACAATCTACATTTATGGATATAGTTACTTAACTAAATAGGGTAACATAGATTTCAAATTCCTAGTTTTAATTACTACTACGAAATATGAAAAGTAATTAGTTATTCAATTTGAACTTTTTACTGCGGTCATGTCAGAACCACAACAAATATGTCTTATGAAGTATTTTTATAATTCTTGTTGCGGTTATAGCTACAACCGCAGCAAAAGTGTAGTTTTTTTCAAATAAAATACACCATTGCAAAGATCTTGGAAAAATATGTGGTTTGATTTTTTTTTTTACATCGATCAGATACGCGAACGCGAAACAAAGTGTCAAAGTGTATTTGAAATTATCGAAAAAACATTTATGCAGTGGTTATAGCAGGAATTGCAGCAAATGGAGTCATTTGCTACGGTTCCGATTATTATCGTGGCAAAAAACACAACTTTTTTTATATCTAAAAATACACTTTGTTTCACGCTCGAGTTTTTTCCGATTGGGTATCTTTTTTAAAAATTATATATTTTTTTAGATCTGTGCAACATCGTATGTTGAATGATCTTATCGTGTTTCAATAAATTTTCACGTTTTTTGTGCTTTATAATTTACTTTTCAAGTATGCATCGAATATTCTAGTAGTAGTGTGCATATAATATTTTTAAATAAAAACATATTAGATCTAAATATCTAATGGAATAACATAAATAATATTACACATGCTATTACATTTAAAATTACAGAAACTATTAATAGAAACTACTTTATTCATAATATAACAATTTTTAGAGTATATATACTGAATTTAATTTATGTGTACTAAAAACCTTCAATGGTTTAGCGGTTTGAAAGTGAATACATGGTCTGTGGGTGCACTACTGTGCTTTAGAGGTCACAAGTTCGAAATCCGTAAGAGGCGGGCTAAAAGAGAGCAAGGTGGATTAATTTTTTAATTCTAAAAAAAATCTTTTTTGCGGTTATACAACAACCGCAGCAAATAGTATTTTGCTTCCAATAGTTCAAAACAATCGTAGCAAATAAGGATTTCTAACTTCTTGTAGTGAAAGGAGTAAGATTTTCCAATTACCTTATTTAATACAGAAAAATATATAGGCGTGGCTATTACATGTGTATATATGCGTACAAAAATGCTTGAGGTACACACTTTGTGTACACACTTTGTGTACACTCGTCTGTCTCTTAAGAAAATTTTGTCTGTCACAGACAACTCATATATGAATTGTCTGTGACAGACAAAATTTTCTTAAGAGACAGACGAGTGTACACAAAATGTGTACACAAAGTGTGTACCTCTAGCATTTTTCATATGCGTAAGCAAATAACGTAAGATGTGTTGAGCTCATATTGTTTACGTCATAGCTTACTTGTAGTTTTTACCCGTCGCGCTCGTAAAATTCATTGGGATAAAGTGTTCAATTTCAAACATAGTTGACAATTATATAACAAAATGATAATTAACATTAAAGCAGTCGATGAAATTGATTAACGAGCGGTAGCGGTTATGAACCATAATTGACCTAACTCTTTTTATTAGAGGATGTCACTAGCTATGAATAAAACTTAAATTATTATTTAATTTTAATAATTGTCAATCATTATGATTAAATTGAACACCTTTTTCCACAAAGAATTTTACGAGTCGGGTAAAAAAGCTATGATGTAAGCAGTGTGAGCTCACCCATCTTACGTGATTAGCTTACGCATACACACATGCAATAATGTATATATCCTATAGTACGTTGGTACAATAGGTTCCTTCGTCCATCTTATAACTTTTGTGATCTGTGACATTTTTATTAAATACTCTGTAGAAATTATCTAGTTAATCAATCAATTAACAATAATAATTAATACAAAGTAATTCTATTTATATACTTTTCACTTATGTATATAATCTTTAAATATATTTGTTTAATATTTTTTTATTTTTGTTTAATAATTTGTACAAAGTAATTTTAATTGTTTTATTTTTTTGTAATTGATGTAATCGATCTCAATTGTATTTTAAACTTTGTTAAGATCAATATACTTTAATTCAATAGTTTTTTTCCTCATATTGGGGATTATCAACATGAAATTATGAAGTAGTAATATAACTATTCTATTTATGGATTTAATGTTTTTTATATAACTATAAATATATTTGTTGGGTTGGCCCAATTCAAGGATCAGCCCACATAATCCCTTTATGGACGGCCCAACAAGCCTCAGCAGGGGAAGACGAACGTCTCCACAACCCTTTGCAGTATCACCAGGGGCAAGCTACAGGATCAAGGGGACACTCATCTCCACAATTGGACGGGGAAAACGAGATTCTGGCGGGAAACGCATTTAATGTTGGGGATTTGGTGGTTGGGACATCAGCCATTCACAGCTCACCACATCAGCATAGCCAACTGCCCATTGGTGGTATAAATAGTAGCATTTGTTTCATTGTAAGGGGTTGACAATTTATCTGCCTTAGCACTCTAGCTTACTTTTAGCTCATAGCTTAATACTCGCTGCTCTTCTATCGAGGTGTAAGACGAACGGCCCTCAGCCTTAGCAAGTGTATTGTATCGAGGAGTTATTAGGTTCTAATAATACCCGGTCCATTTACTTGCTTACCTTTCTTGGCCCATCTTACTTGCTTGCACATCTTATATTCATGCACACAACATCCACTCAAAATCCTTGGGCTTACTTGTTGGACCTGAGGGTTGAAGAAATAAACATCAACATTGGCGCCGTCTGTGGGAATCAGTTCAAAAAGACTCATGTGTTGTTAAATTTCTACAAACAATCTTCTATTATACAAAGCCAAAAGAAAAAATGTACAGTGTTCCCGCTCAAAAACATCACATCCACAGGTCCGGGTCGGGTCTTCAATGGGTCGGATCGGGGCTCCAATGTTTGCAAGCTGGATCTGTGACCTAAAGTAAGTAGCATTTAATGAAGGTTTCAATAACCAAGAAATCAGATTGTGTGGCTCAATAAAAAGCATTCTTGATTTGTACTACAGCCTTTATATTGTCGAAGATTGAACCAAGTTGATGATAAAAGTACAGTACATTTAATGCTATATTAATGATGAATGCATGCTGCTGAAGGGCATTTAATTCAGACCATTTACACGGATATTGTGACTCCATTGTCCAGTGTATAATGCGTAGTACCTGCACTATAGTTGTCCTAATTAAATGGGTTGCATATATCATCGGTTGCATATATCAAAGCAAATCTACTTTACTAAGATTTTGCAGTACAACTTTAACAAATTTATTGGGCACTGTGTGTTGTCTATTCGAACTAAATGGCATTGCATGCCATTGATCATTGGATAAATGGACATTGATATTCAGAGCAGTTCAAATTTGTAGTATATATACATCCAACTTAATCAGTTAGGCATCCAGGGCACCATTGCTTCGGAATTAAGTGGGAGTTGTATGCGTCTTTGAAGTTCAAGCATATTTTAGGAGAGGGGATACACTGGAAGCTATTTTTAATGATTAAGAGGTACTCCACTATGCAATATTATGCTTAAAACTCTTCGAAAATTATGCAAATAAAACTTCATGTTGTTTTAGTAGGGTTCACCTATGCTTAACAATAACCAAAGTTGGCAGGAGGCTTTAGACACTATACGTTGTTTCCAATGATGAAGAGGATTGAATTCATGCAGCTGTAAAATGGCCCCAGATTGGTATACTCTGATCACGTCTATGATCAAGAAATCAAGTGTATGCAATCAAATCTTTTTGGTGAAGGATCACGAATGGAGTGCTTTTATATGAGTTACAGTGAGTATGCATGAACAATGTACCATATGGATTAAATGCAGTATATGTTTGTGTCATATATGTATGGATAAACATCATGAGAACAAAAAGGATATGATAAGTTACAATGTGCAACTGAGTTCATGTATCATAAACATTAATAACTATGAGAATTTTATGTGGATTTGCAATCTTTTTATTAAAAAAATATATCAATAGGGCTTATGTACAGTTACACACTTTCTGGCCACTGGGCTGTCATGGAATTTGATTATCCCAGGGCAAGGCCAAGAATAACCAGCAAGCAGATGAGTTTTGGTAGCTCAGTATAGTGTAAACAGGAGCAGACTTGCATGTTTTCAATGAAGAACAAGGTTTCACACATTTTCTTGAATAAAAGCTTTAGTATTATGCTTTAAGTAGTTTAGGCAGTTCAATTTACATGCTATTACTCTAATCTCAAAATTTAAACGTCATTTTCAACATATATTATTTTAAGCAAAAACTTCTGGTATAGAAACTTTTGGATGTCAAACTTTTGGCAATTTAAATGTCAATTGGTCATTTAAATGTCATTTTACAAACTTTTGGGCAGTTCAATTTTCTGCTTTTTTACTTAAACAAACTATTATAGTGACCTTTTAAAAAATACGAGTATATATTTACTAACAAAAACTATGCAAGAAGTCAGTTTTAAAATTAATCCGTTTGAAATATGTGTAATAGTTATGTATTTCACATATCACATACCAATTTAACCGATTAAAAAAGTCTGCGTAGCCGTATCCAAAATATATTCAAAAACTGATACACAACTAAAAAATTAATTGACTAATTAAACCTTAAAG